GCGAGCGACGAGTGGTAATTGGGGAGTGCGGGCTCGCTGGAATTAAAACGCGGGTCTAAGCTCCCTTTGTTCGCGCAGCAGCCGTAATGAGGGCTTTCTCTTGTATTGTCGTCGATTTCAGCCGATAGTCGGAGAGAGAGATAGGAGGGGGAAAGAGAGTGTGTGTTGCGCGGTTGTCTCTCTGTGTGTGTATGTGTGTATGCGCGCTTGTGTATGCGTCTGTGCGTCCGTGTGTGCGTATGTCTGTGTGTGCGTAAGTGTTTTTTTTTTTTTTTTGGGGGGGGGGGGGGGGTGAAGGGGGAGCGAAGGGTGCGGGTGAGCTTGCGCTTTTCGCTCCGATGGCGCAGTCGCTCCCCCCGTATTTCCCCGTTGTGTGCGCACGAGGGGGCGCTTTCCAAGTGCTCTGTCCATATACGCGCGGAGAGCCACGCCAGTTGGATCTCTCCCGGTGCACTCGTCGGTGTGGGTGGCACTGCTGCCACCGCCAGAAGAGTCCAATCTGAATGCAAATGAGCGGCGCGGTGACTGCGTGCGCTGTGCCCGCTTTTTCCCCGGAAATCTCGGCACGGGGAGTGCGCGCGTCAGTCCCACGTGGCGCTGTTTTGCGTGCCTCCCAATTGCCTGCTATATATTCTCCGTCGGTGTTTGTGTGTGTGCGTTTTTGTTGTCATTTTTGCATATATTTGTATACGTTAATCTTGCTCTTAAGGGTGGAATATATAAACATGTCGGGCGAAATATTTTTCTCATTTTTTTTTCTTTTTTTCTTTTTTTTTTGTCATTGTTTGTTTTTTCGTCTTCTGCGTAGTAAGGGAAGATGTTGGACCCGCTCTCAACACCGTTTCCGGTCGATCTGATAACTTTGTGTCGATTACTTTATGCATATAAGGTATATGCGAATCTCTTAACTTGTTTCCAAAGCATGGGTCATGAAACTTCGTCGATTGAGGGGATTGCTAGGACGGAATCATTCGGAAATGCATTAACGCGGTTATTCGTGCGGGCTTGTTAGTGGATTTCGTGTTGTATTTTGAAGAGATTGGCTGTCGTAGACAGAATGCCGAAAAAGATTTCCTCGCGGGCACTCATCCAGCAATTATCACTGGCTGAAGCATTGACCATTGTTTTTATTTGTCACGTGAGTTCACAAAAACACATGAACGAGCCGGGTGAAGCCTGAGGGATGTGCGTGGAACCACTATTGCCGAATCACTTGTTCTTCAAAACCGTTCTGGCTTTCTACTTTTTCTTCCCCCGTGTCATTGTGTCCGACGAGATGTCCTTTGTTGTTTCGCCCAGCTTTTCGGTAATTCCCAAGCTGTAGCCACAGAGACCATTTTTGTTGTCCCGCAATATGTCATCTGCGCGACTAAGCTGAGGCTCCTTCATTTTTCTACCTTGTACAGTTCCGATTTTCTCATCTCTTTTTCTTTGTTTTTAGTTTTTCGTGCTTTCTTTTTTTTCTTCTTCTTTTTACTTGTCCGTTTGATAAGCCACCGGGTGACGGGCGCCTCCCATGGCGCGTCACCGACACATCGCGTGAGCCAAGCGAAGCGCGCGCGGAACGCCTAAAAGTCGTTGATCCCGGTCACCCCCTGACTCGTATACCCCTCCCCTCCACCACCCATTTCCCCCTCAATGAGAGTCAAACCTTTTACCGGCGGTGCTGCCAGCGTCACGAGGATGGGCGACGTCGGTCGCTGGCGTGATCCGCGAGACGTCTATGGCCGGCTGGCTACCCTACCGCTTGCGCTCCTCGCCCCTAAAAAATTTTCGGAATCGATTTTGTCGAGTCGCCGCAGCGTGTGCGTGCATGGCCCAGAACCGGTCACGAAGACCCGCTTCTGAAGGAAACGCCGCCGGGCGTGGAACTTGGGGCCGCCGTGGCGCCGGCGGCAGGCTTCTGTGGACGCTTTCTGCGCGGCGCCTCTTATTGTCCGTTTTGCATTGCGAGGGAACGCGGAGGACGTGAGGAGATGGGTGTAACCCCCAATCAATTGCGGTGGGAGGGTCACGTGGCCTTCGTGGAGCGCCGTGACGCCGTACTCGCGCGATGCGTTCACGGCACTGATTGGCTCGGATAGCTCGTATTGCGTCCGCTGGAATCGATCGTGTAAGGTGAAACGGGGCCTTTGAAGTTCCTAAGACTATAGATTTCTGGGGAGTTTTGAAGGGGCCCCCCCGCGGGGCACTTCTGCACGCGCAGTTGTAGTGTGATTGTGGGCTCAATATTTACTAAGCGGGTCAAGCTCTTTTGACCGAGTTTGGCCTCTCGAACGTTTTGGGGGCACGAGTTCGGAGGATCTCGAAGAGGTGGTCGGCATGCTCTTGAGTGTGCGTCTAAATACGCACTCGAAAGAAACGAGAAACGAAACAAAAAATATTGGGTCGCCGAGTCTGTTAGCTCATCGCAGCTGGTTGCCTTTGGAGCAAAAGCTCCTCGCGTTGCAGAACGCAGTCCTGCTCGGTCGTGCATCAGCCTAAGAGTCGTACTACGCTGGTTGTAAATTTATATTCTGCATCGTGAATTCACGGTCGCCATACTGGGGTAGACGGGCTTCACGTTCAACCGTCTAAACGCCTAACGTCTATTTTTTTCGTAACCGCGAATTGCATTACGCTGGCCCATGACATCGTTGTTGTTGTTGTTGTTTTTTTTTACACAAACAAACGTGAGAAAAATTTTCCGTGATTATGCCATTTCGAGAATTTATTCTTTTTTTTTTTTTTCGTTTTTTCATTCTTGGTTTACAGACACCTGTGGCGCATTGAAGCATTTCAAATTGCAATGGGAAGACAGTCAACGAGAGAATACTGCAAATTTGCAAACCGAAACAAGACTAGCTCGTTAGGCGCAACGCACCGACGACCTACATCGAAATAGTTGTCCCATTCGCCTATTGTTCTACGGTGGACCGTCTTGCGTAACACCATTCAGATTGCGGAGACTTCCCCCGTTTATTAGAAATAAGCCACGCACGAGATGCGGCAGGCTCGCGTTTAAAAAAACTCCTTCCCCCCCCCCCCCCCGCAAAGCAGGACGCCACAAAGACGCGGTTTAAGCCTCGTGCGTCGGGCCTTCTTGGGGTGGGCGCTCTGCTCGAGAAGAATAGAGCCGTTCCTTTGTCATTCGGCGACGGCAGCAGGCTCGTTCAACGTGCTCGCGAAGAATACGCGCCTTTGTCGATCGAGGCCGTTCGTGCCGCAAACAGTTCCGTTCCGCTCAATCGTCACGTGCGCGAAACTATAGCGCGTTCTCGTTCTCGCGGTGCCGCCGGGTGCGGGCATGCGTCGTAAAAGACGTCTCCCGCAGCTGTATGCTTTTGCTTGCGTTGTGGCGCCTGGAACGTGTCTCTGAACCGGTGCCTTGTCGCGTTCCCCCCCTTCAAAAAAAAAAAAAATGGTCCCTCGGTTTCCGCCTGATGACGTCACAGAAGTGTCGTGCTGTCGTCCGCCGCGATCCTGGCGGCGTCCAGCGCAGTGGTCGTGGCAAGCGCCTGTTCTGCTGCAGATCGCTCGATCTAGCTCGACAGTCCACGAAAACTTGGTCAGGAGTTGGGGCTCCGGGACGACAGAAACACGCTAGCTCCTATATGCTTTCTACCGGGACTTCTCGCATCAACCGCCACGACCGCGACGTCCGTTTTCACCTGATACGGTGAACGCGCAGAAGGCCGTCGAAGCTAACCCAATGCCTTGGGAGTGTCGTGTATAGCATGCAACGCGCGTTACATGCACACTTCACGCGCGTCCTAGTCGGCGTCCCGTGACGACGACGCGCGTAGTATTGTCACGTGATACGAGATTAGCGACGATATCAGATTCTTTGCCACACTCTAGTAGATCAGAATTTAATCGGGGATTTGGTTAATTGTTATCTTTACAAGCTTCGACTAGGTGGCGCAAGCCGCCGCCCGATTAACAGGGTTAAGCCACTTCCATCATCCACCCATCGTGATGTGAAACCAAGTCAACCGGCTTTCGTGTGGGGGCCTGACAATTGTGTTTCTTTCGTAGTGTTCCGTGCATTCTTTCGTTGTCGGCGCAAATGACCTGTTACCATTGCGCTTGTTGTTTTCACGTAAAATATATTCTTTATCCGCGTTTTTTCTGTCAAGTTTTTGAGTGCAGTCAACACAACGAACCTATGGGGTCAGTTATGCAGCGCCAACTGCATAACCTCACGGCATTTGTCGTTGTGTTTCTGCTCGTTTGTTCTACCGACCGCCACTGTATAATCGGGCGCGAAGTACTAGAGGTTTTGGTAGATCACCTTCGCTTTCCGCTGCACTCTAAACCCGTCGCACTGCGCGTGCGCAGATTTCTATTGCTCAGATGCTGAACGACTTTGGAGCGTGAGCCACCGAATTTCCGGAAATCACGAAACATCAATATTGTCAATGCTTGTGGGTATGGGGGTCCCCCGAAGTCGGGCACAACTTCACCTTCGACTGCATTTCCTCGGAGAGTTGTCCCCGATGCTTGTTTCTGACCAGATGTCGACTACAAACATTTTCTTTCAATCTTCTTTTTTTTTTTTTTTTAATGAGGCAGAGTGACGTTTAGGATGGGTTGTTAAAGCGCAGATAAAGTGTGTAATTTATTTTTAATATTTGATAACCTCCTCATTTGTCATGGCAGCCTCGGTAGCATACCACTAAATGTTTTCTAAAAATAATCAAACGTAACGTGTATGGCAAAACTTTGCTTAATATTTCAAGTTTCTTTGCACGTGAATTTAGCTCATAAAAAAAAAAAAAGAAAGCCTCCACAAATGCTTTCTTGACTTGCGAATTAGGCTAGATGAGCTATATTCTTGTTTTCTTTTGTGTGTGTGTGTGTGGGGGGGGGGGGGGGGGGGGGGGGGAGGGGTGGAATATGTGCTTGCACGACTCAAACTAAGGCAGTGAGGTTAGTCGTTCGGTGACTTACCCTCTCTCCTTTCGGTGCTGTATGAGAGAGAGAGTGTTGACGAGGGACTCTCCCTTTTCACCTCGTAGGGACCCCCGCAAGGTGGTACTGTCCAAGGGCCCCACGGGCCTGGGCTTCAACATCGTGGGCGGCGAGGATGGCGAGGGCATCTTCATCTCGTTCATCCTGGCCGGGGCCCCCGCCGACGCCAGCGGGGAGCTGCGCCGTGGCGACCAGATCCTCTCCGTGAGTGAACAGGCACACGCGTCCAGATGCGTGCGTCCACGCCGAACACTCTGTGCGTCCTTGAGTCAGTGCGCTTTTATAAAGATCTGTTGCTAGACGACATGCTGTAGAAATAGGCGTTCTTTGTCATCCTATCGGTGAGCGCCTCCGTTGGTGTCGAGGCTCGGTTTCGGCCTCCGGAGCTCGAAGTGCAAAGTTCAAACTCTGAGCAGTCTTTTCGATAGGAGAGTGTGTCGCGCGTGCTTTTTGATCCGTTGATCTTAGCTTTCCCGCACGCTCTTCCTCAAGTTAACGAGTTGGCATTATGCGCGTGTAAACAAAACGAGAGTTATTAGTCTTGAGCTGCGTTAGCGCCACCTAGATAGAAAGCCATAGCGCCCAAGTTTCATCGTCATCTACCGAGGGCCAGCGCGGATGGGACGCGAGTAGCACCAGAACGCTGATTCAGCACTACGGGTTTCTGTCTAGGTGGTTTTGGCGGCGCGGACTCGTGTGCCGTATATCGTTGACAGCGCCGATTTCTCTCTCTTTCTGCGTCCGTCGTCCAGGTGAACGGCGTGGACCTGCGACACGCGACTCACGAGCAGGCGGCGGCCGCCCTCAAGGGAGCCGGCCACACGGTCACCATGCACGTCCAGTACAGGCCCGACGGTACGTGGACGCGCTGCTCTTTTATCTTTCTCTGCTTCGCTTTAGTCGCCTATGAAGATCCTCAAGGTGGCGCAATCTACCTCCCAATCCCAAGGGAGTATTCATCCATCTGCACGTGGACTGCAGAACGCGAGTTGCGCTCCATTTTAGGCGTCTTGCCGTCTCGCATGGAACATCCGAGAGGTGGGATATTTATCGCAACAAATTCTTCCTAATAATGTCGTTTTCGTCTTATCGGGGACGTAAAAATAAGTGGAGTCATCGATCTGGGCTAACTTTATACTGTCTCGGTTTACAACAGCAGCATGTCGTATATAGTGGAGAATGTCGGACCACTCCAGCGGGCTTCCGAGTCGGCGACTTGTACGTAGTCCAGAACTCCCCCTCCTTCTCTGCAATAGTCCCACTTAGTGCCGACTTGATTCGGCTTCCTCTATTCTCCTCAACGAAGCCCCCCGCTCGCTCGCGTGTCTCTCGTGCCGGAATCACGGCGCTTCCATGACCGGCCGCGGCGCCGTCACGCAAAGCCCGCTTACCCGCCTCACTTGGCCGCCGTGCGGGGAAGCCGTTCTCTTGCAGCGATTTGTTTTCTGGCTGTGCGTCTGTACGCGGCGGAGAGCTGCTTCGCTCGCAAGGAGAGGCGCGCCTGCTCGACCATCTTACCGTTTCGGGAATTGATGCGTGGCTATCGCCTTTGTCTATCGCGAGGGAGAGGGAAGAAAAGGAGGAGGGACGGGAGAGTCCCCGAACTGCCGAACTCGGCGCATCAGCCTAATGGCATAGGCGCGGTCGGCCGCGGTGGCCGGCTCGCTTGCTGACGCCTGCGTTGGTTGACGTTTCTGCATTCCGTTTCACCTTATGATGGACCGCGGTGGAGGCTACAAGCCGTCTCGACCAATCCCATGCCGGGAACGTGTCACGTGACGACGCTCCCCTTCCGAAGGTCTCGCGTGACACTCGCACCTCATTGGATGGGCTTCGATGGCTCGTAGCGTCGGTCCATCGTGGTGTGAAGCGGGGTGCGACTACGGTCGTGGCAAGCGCGGTCCCAAATTAGATGACGTCAGGTGTAAATAACGTAGCGCCGGCTTTCGGGGGAGAGATGGATGGGGGAGGGGGCATTATTTTAATGAACGACGTTGTCTCGGGACAATGGACCGCCGGTGTTGCACAAGCCTCCTTCGATGGAAAGCTTTGGGGGAAGTTCAAGACAGGCATTGTTTCGTCGAACTCTGGGGTTGAGTTGCCTATACGTTTTGAGTTTTTTCTGTTCGCTTTCTGCACTCGGTTGCGTCGCGTTCCCGATCTAGGCGTCTGGCACTTATGTGTGTCCTTCGCTCGCTGTTTGCGTGCGAGCAACTATAGTCGGTGGCGGTCTAAGAATTCGGGGTGAACTCCCGCGATCCCTTTTCCAATGTAGCAGAAGCGAACGCCGGAGAGGAGGCAACCTCCTCTCCTGCCTTCGCTCCGCTAAAGTGGAAACGGCTGGGAGGAGCTTCTTCCGAACTCTTAATTTCTCACTGACTCGTGTGAGAACACGCGTGCAGATTTGCTGCTCTCATCCTGCGTAATTCGAGGGTTGTGGATTTAGCGGTGCTGGCAGACTTGGACGGTACTCATTACCAGTAATCAAGTGACTTGTAATCGATTACTCTTTTTGAGTGGTTTTGTAATCGCAATCGTAATTTATGAAGTAATCGCAACCGTAATTGCATTACTTTAGGAAGTACTAAAATTACGTGTTGCTGTTCCATATATGCGGACAAGCGGAGTCGAAACGTGCGAGATTATCCAGGAGGTTCGCGCCCATTCGTGTAGTGGGAATATTCATCGCCAAGAAGTATTCATCCATTAGTTAGTTTCGGGGTGATGAAGCATTCCCAATGGTACTTCACGCTTTTTCTCCTCAGCAACGTTTCTTTGTTTTCTGCTGAAGCTAGTAATACCCAAAACGTACACATGTGCTTTGCTATACGAACGCATAGTTTCTCCAATAAACTAAACTAAAACTTTTTTTTTCTTTTTTTTAAGGATGATTGTAGAATTTCTGTACTCTGCTTGCCTTTTTTTGTGGGGCGGTCTTGTGGCTTTGTTCTCCAGTCTCGGCAAAGAACCTCCTGGCGGCATTTCCGCTCTCGGCGCCGGAAGGAATGTCTTCCCCGCATTTCCTCGCCGTCGACGTCTCTAGAAATTGAACCACTTAATCTTCTCTCTTGTTTTTGTTTATTTGTCGTTGTTTTTTTCCTTCGAAATCTTCGTAGAGCGTGTATTATTGTTTATATTTGGCGGGAGCCGAAAAAGATTTCTCGGCGCGTATATTGTCGGTATACAGCAGTTCTAAGCAAACGCGCCTGCCCGTAAGATATTACGCGTTTTTCCAATTTTTTTTTTTTTTTTTTTTTTTGAAGATTGAATTATGTACGCAGGTTCCGTTCAGGGACATCATAAGCACGAGATGAGGAGAATGTAAAACTCGTTGGAAGCAAGAAAGGGAAGGGAATCGACTGAATATGAAATTGCACGCAGCACCGCGTCCCGAATTGTGCGCAGCGATGGTCCAGAGACGTTGGAGCGGGGCACCGGAGAACGTTTCGCTCGTACGAGCCTCCATAAAACCAGAAGCTTCCACCTCTCGTATAGGGCTGCACAGAATTGCGAACGGTGCGCCTCTGAGCAATTCCGCCGGTGAATTTAGAACTAACATAAATCTCTTTTTTGCGTAGGTTTTATTTTTTTTTTTTTCCCGGGCGGGTTTAAGCGCTGGCCCGTAACGCTTTCTGACCGCCGGCCTCGACATCGCCCTATTGCCACGATTATGGGCTAAGGAAGTGCTTTCCCGCTTGCTGCGTATATTTGTTGATCCGCGCGAGCACTTAGCGTTAAGCAGTCCCGACTCCCGTCCTGTTGTTTTTCCTTCCTAATGCACCTGTTTTCATGGCGCCGCCGCGCTCTGCTAGCATGCGGCGAATCAGCGGACGTCCCGAAGCACCCCGTCGCTTCCTCGGGTATGCGAGCGTGTACGGCTCACGCGCGCCGTAAGGAGACGTCTGCTTATACGCGCTGATTCGGGAAAAAGACCAGTGCTATGTATCCGTTACACGATAGAGAGTTCTTCGTAGATGGCGTTTCTCCCTCCGCTCTCTGGAAACGAATGCGCCGCTACTGAGCACGCGCGCCACCAGCCTCGTCCGCATGCAGCGTTCCCGATCTCGTAGCGAGTTGCGGAGAGCGTTGCGGGACAGCGGAAACGATAGAGTTCTAGTAGGTCGTTTGGGCACTTCCGATGACGATACCGTCCGTGCGCGAACGCGCCGGGCTGTGTCGAGTATCGTTATCGCTGTCATCGGAACGACCTACTAAGATTCCCTATATGCAAAGTCTCCCTGATGACAGTTTCCTTTTCTCTGCTGACACGATCGTCCGAAACGGCACGCGAAATCGGTGAAGGTGAGGCGAAACATACATATTAAAAAAATACCTCTTTTTTTTTTTTTTTTTTTAAAGATTGCAACCGTGATTATTGTTTACTCCACTGACTACGAGCCATTTTGCCAATCAGACCTGTGAACGTATCGTCTGACAACGCGCCTCTAAGGTCACGCGGCACTCACACGGCCTTGGATTGGCTCGAATGGCTCTGAATTCCGCTGCGGCCCATCGTATAACGGAGTGTTTTGTTTTTTTTTTCCCTCGTCGCTGCAGGGCCTAGGACTTTGTCGTTTCAGGCAGTTCGTTTACGACGGTGTACGAAATCCCCGTCGCGGCCTTCGAACGCGAGCTCGGCGCGTCGTTAAGGGGAAGAGCTCTTTGGGCAAACGGCTCGAGGTTCCCCTTCAAGGACGGAGCCCCGTGTCCGACACCGGAGTTATGGGAACCAGGAACGGCCCTTTAGAAGACGGAGGAGACCTAGGGCCTTTTATTCCTCTTTTTGTCCCGCCTCTCTCGTGTGCGTGCCGCGGTGTATGGCTCCGCAATATCGAGCTGAAAAGGTAGCTTTGCAAGACGGAAGGGGGGAAGGAGAGCCCTTAATTGAATTCGGGTTCGCGCACAGCGGCCGAGGGGGAAGCAACTGGCGTTCGTGTGTTGGGGGGATGTGTGCCTTCCGGGTGATGGGCGGGAATCGATGCAAGTTATTCCGGGGTGATACTTCCGAACGGGTAAGGCGGGTCGGTTCACGGCTCACTGGTCGACGTGCTGCCTTTTTTTTTTTTTTTTTCCCTTCTTCGAATGCGTACCTCTTAGCGCTTTGGTGTTCGCGCCCTTGGGATGTAGCCTCGATGACGTCGTAGTGTTACGTGACGACCGTTATCAGCGTGACTCCATGATGTGACATTTGGGAGTTGTAGTAGACCGCGTATGCTATCCCGCTATGCTTACCGCGACCGGAAACGAGACCCGAAATTCTGCAGCCAAGGCTAACGGCACGCGGTCGTTTCCGGTCGCGGTAAGCTTCGGTAAGCTTAGCGCGACGGTGGACGCGGTCTACTACAATAGGGAGTTTTCGTAGATCGTTTTCGCCGTCCCGCAAGGCCCTCCGCAACCCGCTGCGATAGCGGAAACTCCACAGTCAAGGCTATCGGCGCGCAGGCGCAGGTAGCGACTTCTTCGTTGCGGAACGCTTAGCGGAGGGGGCAGCGCGGTCTACGAAAACTCCCTAATTCCCTACTGACTTCACGTGGCACCGTGACGTCAAGCGATACCGTTATGTCTTAGAGGAAGTAGGGAGTTGTAGTAGATCGTTTCTCTCCTCCGCTACGGTATCCCCGAAGAAAACTGTGCATCTGCGCAAGCGCACTGCCAGCCTTCTCTGCATAGTTCAAGGTCTTGTGGCGGATTGCGGAGCGCTATCCGGGTGCTTAGCGGGCTGCGGAAACGCTCTACTACAATTCCCTACTATAAATGCTGCCCGCTTAGCGCGCCTCTGGGACGTACCCTAGAGAGAGGCGGCTATTTTCTTGAACCAGTTCCGCTCCCAGTTTTGAGGGAGTAGCGTTCGCGAAGACCGAGAAGGAGCAGGCGTGGTAAGCAATGAGTAATCGCTGTTCCGTTATCCCGTCACATAAGGAGGGAAAGAGACGTGCTTGCCCGTCCCCCTAATCGAAACACAAGCAACCAAGAGGCACCCCCGCCTTTGACCGTCGCTAATCCCTCGGGGCTATCGCCGCCGCACCCCGCTCTTTCGAATAGGGGGAGGAGGAGGGTTGCTCGAAGGATAATCGCTCCCAGATAATCGCGCGGAATGACGCTGCCCGCCTCGTTCGACGACGTCGGGTGTGGGAACGGTCGGGGACCGGCCTAAACGTCACCGCGCTCATGAATCTTTCAGCTCGGGAAGCGAGCTTCCCCGACCGCCGTCGTTCGCGTCGTCGGTGAAGGCTCCCCGGGTTCCTCTCCGCCCCCGCCCGACTGCGCGTGCGCGATCGATCGCGTGGAGGCTCCCCCTGGTAGTCACTCTCGCATAGCAGCTCGAGCCCGTCGTTCCCTTCGCTGGGTTTCGTGTCCGGTGCTTGCGAGTTGGGGTGCGACCACCCGGCGCGCGTTCTCGAGGGCCCCGTTCCGTCGGTGCGCTCGTCGTCGCTGGATCCCAAAGCCAAGTCCGTGGATTCGAAAGGAACAGGCGGACCGGGAATGCCGCCGCCCGACGGTTGCCCCCGTTCGCGTCTCGGGACCCGCGCGTTTGGTGGTGCAGAAGACTTGGGAGACGTCGTCGCCGCTGGCCTGCTCCGTTCTCGTCGTCGTCTGCGTTGCATGTGGTAGTGTGTGCGTGTGTGCTGGCCGACTGGGAATTTGGGCAGGAGCGTGATCGTGTCGTCGTTGCCCGCCACCGCCGCCGTAGTCGACGGTGGTGTTTCAGATGCCCGCGCGCAGTGCGGATGACGGTGAGGGCTTCTGTCTTTCGTTCCTGCATGTGCTCCGGGTTGTCCTGACAGAACGCGATTCCTTCCTACTCTAGTCCGCTTTGCGTATGCGTTTCTGTAGACTGTGTGGGTAGACTTTGGGCAGGAAACTCAGAAGTGTTCTCCAGTTAAGCTTCGGAACAACGGCTAGCGGCATTTTGGCTAAGAAGCTGCTTTGTCGGCATTTCGAGTCGGAACGTCGGCTTGTGTTGCGAAAATTTCCGAGCAATTCTTTTTGAACCGTCGTGTTTGACTGATCACTCCTTCTTACCCCCCTTGCTATTATTTTCTTTTTATAAATAATCTTAATATTGCTCGGCTTTGTTGATTTTGTCTTCTTTCGAGCGACCATATTCGAAGTTTGCAATAGCCTTGAGCGTCCGAAGATTTTAAAGGCCATTGCATACGTCTGTGGTAGTTACGCCGCCAGTCTCCTTGCCGCGCCGTAAGAACACAACCTAGAAAAACTGGCCCGCGCATCATGTCACGCGTCTCGGCCATAACATTCGCGAATCACGCTGCTACGCGAGGTTTGGTTAATCGCCGGCGGGCACGCCACGTTGCGTTTGTGCTCCGTTTTCCCGATCGCAAGTGGGTATGTGTTTCCAGACAGCGAGAGAGAGCGCATCTCGGGGGGCCTCTCGGCGGATATCTTATCTTTCCTGGGAATCTGGCACTTGGGTTAGATTGTCGCACGTGCGTATGGTGCCGCAAACGCCGATAAGCTGGACGTCTCGACAAAAGTTTGGCAGTTCTGTGTGGAGGCGTGGTGTGCGCGCGCCGTCGCTTGTTCGCTTCCTGTCGCGACGCCGGCTGCCGGCGTTCTGGAAAGCTGGCTGCACCGCTTAGCTCGGGCGTTGGGTGGGAAAGACGCCTTTTGTGTTTTGTGGGGCGGCGCGTTCTCTTTTAGCGATTGCGTGTTTCTCTGGCTGGAAACGAAGCTCGAGCTCTGTTATATTATTTTCTTTACCCTCGGGTTTTTCTTTTGTTTGTTTGTCTTACGAGCTTAATTTACATGTAAGAGGAGTTTGTTTTATTTTACAAGCTTAATTTACATGTAAGAGGAATGAGGGCAGTGTAGCTTTGTGGAACTGCTGTTCAAATAGTTTGTGGCTTAAACCGAAAGCGTGTCAACAGTTGGTTTGTCAAATTATTTAGTGAAGTACAGACTTTGATAACTGAAAATAAGTAGGAGTAAAATCCTCCAATTTTTTCAATGGCATTTGAAATTTCGCTTGTTTGGATTTTTTACCTCTATTTTTACATGTAATGATGACATTTGACCACCCTCTTCTCTGGTTTGAGGGCTTTGAAGCTAGAGGAACTGATAGAACTATCACTAACTTCATTGCTTTTGTCTGAGAACTTGCAACTAGAGGGAGTGTGACTCAGAAGTCAAAACTTTGTGATGAATCGTCCGAGTTGTTTGACTCAGAACTTGGCTCTGCTTCACAGGTGACTTGATACTTAGTTATGCACCTTCTGTTAGAGATAAGATGTTTCAGTTTGCTTTTGCTTTCCTGTTGACTCTCCCTCAAGTGCCTTCTAATCTGATAAACCCTCCTTCATGTAGGGCTGATTCGAGTGGCTAACATTCCAGCTGTTTTTATTTATTTTTTATAATTACCTGCAGCACTTTGGAGGCATTATTCCAGGGAAAGGGTCTCGAAAATCCGATCAAATGATTATGCAAATAGAGACACAGTGTGACCATTTTCATGCTGTTGAAACAAAACAAAAATTTGCAACAAGAATTAATAGCTGCCACTTTGAATTGACAGTCTACTCACTCTGAAACATGCAACGGACTTCAAATAATAGATGGCAAATTTGCCTTGGTGCGAGTTTGGTTCTTCAAATCGTTGAGGGTTTTCCTCAGTGCATGTGGCAATGAAGATTTTGTTTCTTTTGCTTTCAGAGTACAACAGATTCGAGGCGAAAATCCACGACCTGAGGGAACAGATGCTGAACACCACGGGCAGCCTAAGGACATCCCAGAAGCGGTCACTCTATGTCCGGTGAGAATCTAGAGTCAAAGCTGTTTTTTCATGGAGATAGGAAGCTTCTGAAGGTGACATGATGCCACCAGAGGTGAAGCCAGAAGTGTGGAGGGACATGCCCCAAAGGATGACCAAAACAGCTGTGGTTTTGTCATCGTTGGAGGTGGCACAATTCTGTGCCACCCCCAACGATGACAAAACCACAGCTTGATGATCTTTGGGGGCCCCACACTTCTGGCTTAACCTCTGGTGGCATCATGTCACCTCCAGAAGTTCCCTACCTCCAGGTATGTTCTTTATTGTCGCGTCCTTGGTAATATCTAGCGTCGTGCTCCAGGAGCGCTGGAGAGTTCACTCAAAGTCCTTAGGTAGCACGCCAGAGAAACGCCTAACGCCTAAGTTGGGTGCCTAAGGACTCCTTAGGCACCCAACTTAGGCCTAATGTGGTCTTGATCCAAGATATTAATTACTGCCAGAGCACTTTTCTTTGACATTCCTATGACTTTCCTCTGGCTTGCCACACAACTGTTGAAGTGCTAGACTTGAGCCGAAGATGTCATGTATGAATCGAATAACCAACAGTGAAGCCTAAATCTGGCACAATGAGAGGTGATGCTTAACTTTGGCACTTGGTTGACAATTTAGGCCCATAGGTGCCAGATGACAGTAACACTACCACCAGTGAAACCTATCTTTGGCACTTCTTTGGCAAATTAGGCTAAAATACCAGACTCTTGCGAAGAGGGTCCGATTTCCCTCTACCTCGGCTTCTTCACGCTTTTATAAATCCCTTAATTCGCAAAAAAAAAAATTGGTTCAAAGAGTTGTGGTAATTGGGTTGCACTTATGAATGACCACTCACATAGTGTGGGAAGTGATTGCAGACTATAACTTTTAGTTAATGCCTTCAGAATCCTTCTACGTCAACTGTGGAGTGTGAATGACCAAACAAATTCACTTATTCCGTCGTTGCGACTGATGAAATGACCAGAAAGAGTGGGGATAACAAACATCTTGCACTGGGTGTTTCTTTGGTGCGGTAGCACTAAGGAAAACCTCCAATAGTTTGTTTTGCTCTGGACTTCTCCAGGATGACAAGTAATATGATTATAATTATTCTGTTACTTTTTTCCCCCTGGCATTTTTTAGTTAACCTTTTGACAGTCTATTTTTTTTTTATTTTTTTTTACAAAAGATGTTTTTTAGTGGTCTGGTCTTGTTTTCACAGAAATAGTATAAAGAATAGGTCAGTGTGCAGGTTTTTTCTTAATTATCTAGCGGGAGCACATACAGTGTTTGCTGGTTGTTTAGGGTTCGAAGCATCAAATTAAAGTATTGATGGCGAAAAGTTGTCACATTTCTTCCATTCGATTTCATTTTGGTGAGTCCGCTTCCACAACTTTCTAGCGGCTTCAGATTTCTAACTGGAGATACTTTACGGGGCTTCTCCATCAGATGAGGAGCTCTCATTCTCCGAATTTAATTCCAAAAGGCATTTAAAGTCTGAACAAAAGGAGACAGTGCTTCCAATGGACACTTCTGCCAGAGTGGCCGATATGCAAAGTCGCCATCAATACTTTCACGTGCACAGAGCATCTAATTTGAAAAATATAAATAGCCCAGGAATGTGAAACAGCGTGCAAATATAGCGTTTATAGTTGGCTAAAGACATAACAAATAGCAACACCTCCCGCAGTGCACGCAGTTTCGCGTTTAGGCGGGCACTTTCAAATGTGTAATCATTGCAATACATGTACGGCGACGACTGTTGGAGGGTTAACCAAATATTATGATAAAAACATGCAGTTCACATCTCGGACCAGCTGGCAAATGTCTATACTCGAAGAAAGTATAATTTTAGTGAATTTCAAGCAAAATGACAAGTAAAATAATTTCTGGAAAACGAAGAAATTTCTTAAAACTGACCTTATTAGCGTCTCAAATAAACTAAACCATCTTGTACATTTGCTTTTTTTGTGTTTAGTTGTGGCAGCTGTCACTGGCCATAGAGCATTGCTAGTGGCACGTTACAGTTTGTGGCGTCTTACGGAGCATCTTCCCCCACCCCAGGGCCCTGTTTGAGTATGAGCCCTCCCGGGACAGTGGACTTCCCAGCAGGGGTCTCCCTTTCCGTTTTGGCGACATCCTGCACGTCATCAACGCAAGCGACGACGAATGGTGGCAGGCCAGGAAGATTCTTCCCGACGGGCACGAAGACTTTGTTGGCATCATCCCCAGCAAGCGCAGGTGCGTTGCCCCCTCCTTCTCGCTGGAACCGGTCGCCAGATCTGGTTGCTTCAGTTGCTGACAGGACGAGAAAGATGCATCTTTCAATGGCCCAGCCTTCCGCACGCGCTCGTGGCCTTTTACCGTGCTTTGGCTTTGCATTCACGTGCGAGGCTCTTGGGACACCTAGGTGCCATGGAAGGTAGGAAGCTCACACTGGAGGCTGGACAAGTGAAACTTCTCCCCGCCGGTCTTATCCCTTTGGTGACCATAGAACTGGTCCATAGAACTGGTCCCTAGAACTGGCCACTTGAAGTGGTTTCTATACTTTGTCTCGCTGTAAGCCGAAACGCAGCCGACGCGAGGGGCCTCTGGGGCCAATTAAGCAGTGTCAAAAGCACAATGTTACTGCGTTGGTCGTCCTTTTGCGCTTGTGCGATCATCTGCTTAACCAATCAAATGCAGCGAATGCGCCGTCACCTCGCGTTTTTAGCATGCGTGTTTGCGTTTCTTCCAGCCTTCGAGCATCATTAAACGGAGTATAGAACTGCTCTAACTTATCAGGAAACGAAGTATAGAACTGGTTAGTACAGCTAGTCATGAGCTTACCTATCCATTTTAATGGTCATAGGGACATTGTTTGCAACTTCTTGCTTCGTAATGATGAATCACTACCCTGTAAGGAGCACTCTGGAGAAATTGTCAACGATTTGGTGGTGCCTCGCTTCATTCCACTCTCACATATCCTTCTTGCTGGGAGAAGAGTTTAACATTATATGGATACATCTTAGATTTCCTCGATTATTGCTGTCCTTTTCATTTGTTTGTAAGCTCAAACGGCCATTAATTTTTGTGTGTCCCTGGCCAGACTTTGTTTGATGCAGCTTCGCATTGGTTACTTTGGCATTACAAAACCTGGAAACATGTTTTGTCACCGTGAGAGTCATTAAATGTGTGTGTTCAGAAGGCTCGGGGTTATCTTGCTTCAAAAGCAGTGGAATTTGTCCAGAGTTTGTGGGGCCAAAGATGAGAAGACCCCCTCATTTGTTCAAGTCTCTTTTGTAACCCCTGTGAAGCTAGCCATTCAAAACTGGATTCAACAGCTTGTGGAAACTTCCCTCATATCGTGCCTATTGATCTGAGCGTGTTGATCCAAGTTTTTCTGAGAAAGGTCCCGATAGATTCAGCACTGTAAAAAAAAACTAAATAAGAAACATGTGGAAAAGAAAAAACTAAGCAAATTAGTGTAGAAGCAAAGAGCTTTGATCATATCTGCTTCGTCACCAGCACAAAGTTTTGCCAGTGCTTTTATTTAGTAGGGCTTTAAAATTTTAGATATGTCATTTGCTTTTTCGGTTTGTGTGTGCAGAGTGGAGAGGAGAGAACGTGCCAGGCTTAAGTCTGTCAAATTCCAAGGGAAGAGCAGTTACAGTGATGGAAAGGTGAGTTTATTTTATTATGCCTCCACCTTTTGGCTGTGCAAGTTCACTTACTGCCCACGTAAATTCTTCAGTGAACGCCCACCCCTGAAAGATTGCCTGTCCGTTTTTGCAGCTGTATATTCCTGGCGGGAAACATCTGAAACATTACCATTTTATCAATAGGATATAGTATGCGCTTGGTTGGGTTAGTTGGTGAGGCATCTCGAATAAAAACAGCGCAAAAATAACGGAGGACAAGACAAAGAAACTGGACAGACCAAGCATTGGTCTGTTCAGTTTGTTTGTCTCATCCATCAATGTTTTTTTCGCTGTTTTTTGTTTTTATTTGGAAAACATTTCATTAAGTTCTTGCACTGGTCGAAGGGTCTTCCTCGAGCCGTCGCATTACCAATTAATATAGAATGTGCTGGGACTGCAGACTGGCTAAACGGGAGGGACACGCTGGCCATGCCACGCACATGTTAGTGTTTTTTTTTTTTTTTTGTTTTTAAATTTTTTGGCAGTTGTTGGAATGCACACGGACAGCCGCACCGGCCACCCATAAAGAGGTTGTGATGGTAGTTACAGATCATAAATTATTTTCTGCGTGGATTGATAAATTCTTGCGTAATATCATTTTTATATTTAAGAAACAGAACCATAATATGTGCGTTTCCAGTGTCCACAATATTCTGATATCGTCCAGTTTTTAGCAGGTGCTTACGTGCTTATTGCTCATTTTCTGATAAAATTGTGCTGTCTCGTACCAAATGGTTGCCCGCCGAATATTTACCCTATTTCTTTATTGTAGGTGGCTGTTCATTTTGGATTTTACAGTACTCACTCGCTCGCTTTAACCTTTCACAGGGCACGCTAGAGAGGAAAAAGAAGAATTTCTCGTTCTCAAGAAAGTTCCCCTTCATGAAGAGCAAAGACAACAGCACAGAGGATGGTAGCGATGTTGAAAGTAAGCATCAGAGTACATGCTCTAGCCAAGACTGCTTATTTATTTCGAGTCTATTTTTCCACTATCATTATAGTAATGGACCTTTTTCAAGTAGCAGACGTCGTCTGGGGGTGATTGTCTGCAAACTCTAACTGAAGGGCCGCCCAACGTGCCTCCGCCTTTTGGAACACTTTGGCATTGTGCTATACCCCTAAGTCCTATATTATTGAAGCAAAAGAAAAAGTAATTAGAAAAGACTTAATATGCACAAAGATATCTGCTGACGATGTGGCTGTGCGGACAATGCACTCCGAATATGGCGACAGTGGGAGGCAAGGTTAGGAGGGAGGGTGTGTGCATGTGCAGAGACTTACTGGAAAAAGGTCCATTGGTAAAAATAGATCTGTTTTTCAAACCTACAATGACAGGAATAAAGTATTTCATCAAATTTTGCTATATAGCATACTAAAGTGGAACAATCGCTACTCCGGTTTGAACCGCTGTTTTATGCAGCACCATATTTGCTTTTTAGTGCCTTTATGGCCCTCTTTCGTGTAATTTTGAAACATTTGGTTGAAACTGGCTGCTGGCCTAGATTCAGGCAGTCACTTCTGCAATTACCTCTGTGCTACTTAACTCGTTAAATGAACATTATTCACTCTGAATTGTTTCCCCATGAGCCACCTTCAGCATGGAATCTAGTATATCTTTAGTATTGTATCGTGTAACTAACCTCTTCTCGCAGTTTGTGATCGAGTGTTTCTGCACAAGTGCAGAGTGTTTGCCAGGCTCATAATCTGTGCATTTTGCTATCTTTTAAACATGTCTCACATATGTCACCTTCCTCTCAACAGGAGATGGGTCTCCAACCAAAGGCAAGTGCCTCTTGTTTTCCTTGCCTGTGTTGACACGCTGTTTGTATGATTTGCAAGGGGTGATGGCTGGCTCTTAGTTAAAGGGGCACTGACACCCCAAAGGTCAAATTATTTTTTATTGTCTAAAACGATGCAAGTTGTAGTCATAGAAATGCAAAAAAAAACGCATCGCAAAAAAAAAAATTTCTTTGCGCGCGCGCGCCTTTTTATTTTTGGCGTTTATATTTCCCGCGCTCACCTCCTCGCTTCTTTCGATCGGTGACGTCAAAAATCAGGAAATTTAGAAGCTTTGTGGGTGACATTTCTATAACATTTAACGCAATTGCGAACGCACTACGGCCCCTCTTTTTGAAATACCAAAAATCAAATTTCGGTGTGATGTTGCTTCCTGGATTTGTATGCTTCCTCGGAAAACTTGGCGGCCGCGGCGCTCGAGCAGAGGTTTATCGGCGAGTCGGGGAAGAAACCGGTTTTTTCCCGCGCCGGCACCCTTCTATCCCGCCTGCTCACCTCTTCCTCGCTTCGGGTCGCGGTAGCAACGGCTCTTTGCTTCACAGCGTGGAGCGGAGGTTCGAAAGAAAGTCGAGTCGCAGGAGACCGCAAAATTTGACTCACTGCACTGGCGCGGATCGCGCGGGAACTTCAAATTCGGCATTTGGAAATTGTTTTTTTAATTCAGAAATACTGAATTCCCAAGTTTCAAAATTTGAGGGTAATGTCCGGGCATCATTTTTAATCATTTCGGATAATAAAATAAAATATGATTTTGATGTGTCAGTGCCCCTTTAAGAAACTGCACTTGCTAACACTAAATCACTAACTGTGACCCTTGTTGAGACACTGTGCCTGCCTCATTCATATCCTCAGAGTCCAACGCAGTGGTTGTTTTTAAACTGGAAATTTATTTCTATCGTGCCATTTACCGCTTTTCTCGCTTACATCTCAGTGATTTATTTTATGTTTACTTGTGGGTAAGCGGTGTGGACTTTGTTCAAAACAGGCTGTCGGGATAGTGCAGATTATATATCCTACGTTTTGTGGTCCTTCACTCGATTCAGAAAACATGTCTGTATTGTCTACGGGTAAGAACTCCAGTTGTTGTTGTTTATTCATACTGCTAACCTCTTTCGAGGTCGTAGCAGGAGTGGAAAACAAAGATACAAATATTTCATGGTGCACTCATTTACACAAAACGTCGCAAAAGTCAGAATAGGAGGCTGCATTAACAACATTGGGTGGCAGGTTGTTTCAGTCAATTACTGTTCTAGGAAAGAAGGAATATTTAAATGAATCATTTTTATAATTATATGGTTTAAGTGTCTTCTGATCTGAATATCTGGATACTCTAGGGCAAAAAAATTCAATGTATTGATTCTTGTCTATTCCCAGCTCATTGCTAACAATTAAATAAAGCAATTTCAGACGATTTTGTTTCCTTCCTTTCTGTAACTCTGCTCTAGCACACAAGTCTGTGGGGGACACATAAGAAGAATACTAATTAAAAACGAATCGCACTGCAAGTCTCTGAACCCTTTCTAAATTAGCTATGTTACAAGTCGTGTGCAGGTCCCAGACACTGCTAGCATACTCTACAATTAGTCTAATAAACGTTTTATATAACAACAACTTAGTATCACTTGACCCATGTTTAAAATTCCTGCGCAAAAATCCAAGTTTATTTATCGCCCTTGCGATAATTTGGCCAATATGCATATTCCAACTCGTCAACTCTGACGACAAGATAGGGGTATCATTTCACAAAAGAAAGAACATTCACACTGCAGTGTTTGCAATTTGTTAAGAGCTCATTATAGGGAAGGTGCTGTGTAACAGCTTGCAATTACATGTCGAAAGATTCCCAGGCAGTCTAGAAGATTTATACCCTGCCCTCTGCTGGGGCATACCAGATGCCCCTAGTTCATTTAACGCGTAAAAGCCCGAAATGCCATTATTTATTTATTTATTTATTTAATTTCATATACCCTCAGGGCCAAGGGCATTAGAGTAGGGAGTCGGTACAATGTATTTAGTATGGATAAAAAAATGCAGTGATTATTACTACAGTAAATTGGCTCCTAGTTATACAATATTAGCTATGGCATTCTTGAACTGCTGGTGGCCTTCCATTATTGCTGTTGAGGTGGGAAGGCCATTCCGCTCCACTGATGTGTGGGGAAAGAATGACCGAAAAAAAGCATTAGTTCTGCAAGATGGATCGTGTAGAACTATAATGCTTTTTGCTTTGGACAGTATTGGCAGCTGTCATTGTTTCCTCTGTGTGTTATTGACTACTAATTCATCTTTTGATGTGCCACAGAAAGTTTATATCTTTAGAAATGTCTGTTTGGTGCATTTTCTGCTCTAAAAGCATGTATCAAAGATTATTTCTATCACTATTACCGGAAGTGTATGTGCTTGATGTTTTCATCCCAAAATATTGTGCACTGTACGATCCGCTGATTAATGAAATGTACCTAAAACACTGTGTGTACCCTGTGTGTGCTGATGCCGAGTCCTTCTAACCCTTAGATACAGCAAACACTTCATATGCAAGTGATAGCGAAGCAAGTAGCACGAGTGAGTACTGCTTTGAATGTGCAGATCTGTTTTCAGTGTGTATGGCCATGGCTGATGGGCACTGTACCCTGTTGCGGGTTAAGAAAAGCAGGACCAGCTCTTGCCGCGTTGCCTTCCACTCTTTCCACTTTGCCAGAGTGAATACTGGAAGGAGAGGGGAGAGAGGAGGGACTCTCCTCTCCAGCGTACACTCTGCTGAAGAGCTTGTCCTACTCTTGACCTGTGACAGGGGTGCTGCCATCTCTGTGCTTGTTATCCAGTTTGCATTAACTTGCCAACTAAATGCACATTGGCATGTTTGCATCGATACCATTCTCTTATGGATTGGGGGGGTGGGGGCTGAAGCCGAGGAACGCACCACCAAATTGCTGTTATGGCAAAATTGCCATGAAATTACGTGTAAGGTTTAAAGCCTATTAAAGTTGGTCAATGTAAAATAAATTGACTAGACGACGGCAGTATTAGTTTGCTGATATCAGGTTTGTTCAAGATGTGCTCTATCAAATATAGGTTAAAGTAGTACTCTGTGTGATTATCTCTGAGCAGATTATTTTTAAGTGCTTTCAACTTTGATTTGAAGAAAGGTGTTGGACAGTTCGTCACTTGGCTTATTTTCTTTCGTAGGTTGCACTTTGTAAGCATTTTACTTTCTCTCTGGCGATCATTAGAAGGATTAATTGTTTTTGTGACACGCTTTTGGAGAAGGGAGTAATGACATTTCTTACAGGAGAAACGTAGCATTGTACAAAGTAATGTGTTTGTTTTCTGAACGCATAGACAACTTGGCACAGCTCCTGTTTTTTGTATTGCATTTGAGACTGAGCCTTTGTTCTCACAGGAGGGATCGATGAGCCTGTTCTTTCCTATGAGGCTGTGGTGCAACAAGAAAGTGAGTAGAGCTTTTTCATGTTTTATTTGAAGTTGCATGAAACTAGAAGTTGTTCTATGGATAGTGCAGTTTTCTATAAGACATTATTTGATGGCATAAAAAAAAAATTGAGGTTATTAATAAAGAGATATTCCAACGAAATTTTAATGCCTATTTTATTGTCTAAATGTCAACCACATTATTGCCACATCAAGGAGACGCCAATATTTTTTGCTTGAAAAGACACCAAAACATTATTCAAAACAAATAAACTGAATGTCGTTACGTCACAGTCCGTATAAATGCAGAGCCGCCCCGCGGAGATACAGCGGCAAGCTGCGTGCCTGCGATCCCCGTCGAACTCGGCCGAACCGGATTTTCCTTCTCTCTCACGCCTATTCAACTCCTGGGGGTGCGGGGAGGAGCAACTAGAACGACCCTGTGTAACGCATTGACATTACCAAGTGGCGAATTTCATAACCACAGCAGTCCCCTGTAGCCTTGGCAGTGAAGAAAAACCAGACGTCACGAACGCGATGCGTCTCGGGAGATCTGGCTCCTCAAGCGCGTTCTTGATGTCTGGTTTTCCTTCACTGCCTTGTCTACATAGGGGCTGGCAGGGATGTGGGCTTTGCCACTTTGTGGCGTCAACGCGATACAACCTGGCCGTTTGAATTGCTCCTTCCCGCTCTCTGCAGGTGTTGAATAGGCAGAGGAGATAACAGAAATCCGGTCAGGCCAAGTTCGACAGGGCTCGCGCAAATGCAGCTTGTTGCCGTATTTTTGCGGAGTAGTGCTGCCCTTGTATAAACTGTAACGTAACGACATCCATTCCTTTTATTTTAAATAATGTTTTGGTGTCTTTTCAAGTAAAATATTGTTGTCTCCGTAATGTGGCCAGAATGTGGTTGACATTTAAACAGTAAAATGGGCGCTAGAATTTCGTTGCAGTTTCCCTTTAGTCTGTAAAGTTGGTGTGAATGATGAGCAAGAAGGAAAACAAGAAAATGTGACAGATCTAAAAATGATAGTTCAATAAAACTTAGTCTGCTTTTGATGCATGTAGAAAAGTGACATTTTAATTGCTGCCAGCAAGTGAGTGTACTGTTCCATGCGCTGTTAGTGACTGGTTTTTTGTATTGGATGTAAGCTCTAAATTAACGGAGTATGACATCTGAAGTAATTACAAGTTGAAATAAAATCTTGTTATTGCACTGTTCGACTTCTATATTCTTTTAAAAATGTTTCTGAGCAAATCTATCATATATTTATCAATTCAACAATGCAGGTGGGTGAGTGGCCCAGGAAGAGAAGGTAGCAAAAATAAGATGAATCCAATAACTCTAGGGAATATTGTGAGCTGGTAGTACTGTTGTTGGGTTCAGGGAGCCTTGGGAATTGAAGATTGCTGGAACGTAACACAATGCTTCTGGCATTCTCATTGCCTTTCAGTCTCCTACACACGGCCCATAATCATCCTGGGTCCCCTGAAGGATAGAATCAACGACGATCTAATATCGGAGTACCCTGAGAAATTCGGATCTTGTGTGCCACGTAAGTCTGTCCGTTTCATCTCTATGTTGCATTGAATGACTGCACAATTGGAAATCGAGTGGCGGGCATTCAGAGATGACGCTCATTAATCTCGCAACCATTGTCTCAAGGTGGATGGTATCGTCAACTTTCCCAAAACAGAAATCCAGTCTTCATTGAAATTTTGGTTGGTACCAAGGGTGTGGCAAAATCTTCTTGCTCTTGCTTAAATCATTTTTTTTCATTTTTTTTAATAATGAGTTGAATTTATGTGATGCGAAAACACAGATAAGCAGGAATGTGTGCTTATCGGAATAGCTCTGCACTGCAGCCACCTTTACATTGTTTTTTCTCGCATAATATGACCAATTTCAGATTAGTAATACCTAGGGGTGTGCGAATACTCGAATATACGAATTCGAATCGAATAGAAAGTCCCTGAATAATTCGATTCTCAAATCGAATTCCTAGTATTCGGTCACTCGAATATTCGATATATTCGGCCGAAGACGCGCGGTCAATGCGGAGCTCAGAAAAAAGCCGTTTTTTCTCCCGATGTAAGCGCCATAATGTTAGATAGACCATGCAACAAACACCTCTTGGTCCTACCATTCCACAAAAATCTAACGCACAGGTTAGAAGAAAGAAAAGTAACGAACGCCACAAACTTTATAGCACGCAGATTTACTCACGATCGTGACACAATCTACCCTTGAATCCCAACCGAAACATCCCGTTTGCGCCACTTCCAGAGAGGAATTGGGAAGCCGGAATTCCGCGCCATGCCCAATTCTTTTCACGAGTAAAGCCCCTCGTTTCAAATTTAAGCGCCGATGTAAAACACACTTTCGGCACTCACAGAAATCGGCATCTGCACTATCACATAACGAGAACCACAATAACCACGCTGATGAAACGTCGTGCCGTCGTTCTTTTGGAACCGCAAGCCGCAAATTCCGATTCGGAACGAAACGGAACGGAAAAATAGCGTGCCTAGATTTGAGAGGCTTTCCAACCGTTCGATAGCCGCTTTTGAATTACGAACACCGAGAAGGCGACGAAAAGTCGAAAGCGTAAGCGTCGATCGGGCAGGCGTCGAGGCTCCTACGTTTGCTCGCGCTCGCCTTCTCTACTTACGACCAATCTGTGCAGAAGCCGTCTCCGTGGTTTCAGTTTCCCTTGCTTCCTCTTTTAAATCTAGGCTCTTTAAAGCAGGATAGATAGTCGGAAAAATGGATGCATAGTGGCAGTTGGACGGTGACTTGCGCCACCTAACCACGTTTTGTTTTCTTACTTCGGATTATATTGTTTAAGCCTGTTTACTCAGATTTAACACCTATCTATTTATTTATATGAAATAAAATACCGGGTGCCCTTTTTTTCCTTAAAGCGGAGACCAAATATCGCAAAATGCCCCTTTTCTGAATTATACAAATATTAAAAAAAGTTGCGGTGTTAGGTTGTTTTTACGAGAAGAAAAAAAAGCTTGAGTGGCTGTAACTTTAGTATTTTTGTGACGTTTAGGGCAGATAGATTATGTTTGCGCCATAAAATTGGATCTTTAGTGCCCAATGTCCAACAGCAACTACTTTTTTTTTCACCAGAATTTTTTTACATTTTTGCTTTTATTCCACACAAGATGCATATTCTGCGCCAGGCGCATACTCTGCACATATAATAATCTCAATCGCAGGCACACTTTAAAAAATTCCTACAAATAAAATCACTATTCGATATTCTATTCTATATTCGGCTTTTTTTTCTTGATTCGATTCGGTATTCGATTCGAAAACTACTATTCGGTATTCGCACACCCCTAGTAATACCTTTTGGAAATGATGGACCCCCAGATAAACTCAGAATTTCAGCCGAAATCGGCTTAGCTTCGGTCTCTGGATTTGGCTCATTTTGAAAAAGACCTCCGCATTCGATGATGACAGCAAGTGAAGGTTGCACGTTCTGTTCATTGTGGGCAACTTTTTTTGTGCAACCTCGGATCTATATGGTTGCATGCAACCCCAGTTTAAGCGGTTGTGTGTCACCAGATTTAACATTGGTTTCATGATACTGTAGCATACTGTAAACGACTTAATTTTTGCGGGCTCAAATTTTCGCGCATCGGGCCAAAGCTGAAAATTTGAAATAATTTGCGGGTTTTCATTTTCGCGAATCGAGTGTAGCTTCCGTAGCGTTCACATATTGCCCGAATTGTTTGCGGGACGTATTTTTTGCGAAATGTAGGCGATTCGCGAAATTCACGAAAATTAGGTTTTCGCAAAAATTTCGTCGTTTACAGTATTTAAGAACTGCGTTGCTTGAACGTGCAACAGCTGTCAGGGAGGCCCTCGCAGCACATTATTTGCCGGGGACGTTGAAGTGGCCGCTTCACTTTTGCACACAGACACGACGAGGCCCAAGCGAGATTATGAGGTGGACGGGAGAGACTACCATTTTGTTGCCTCAAGGGAGCAGATGGAGAGAGACATTCAGAACCACCTCTTCATCGAAGCCGGCCAGTATAACGACAACCTCTATGGAACCAGCGTGGCTTCGGTCAGAGAAGTTGCTGAGAAGGTGGGTGCCACTCTCTTCCCTCAACATCCACCCAGGCATTCACTTTGTCCCGCATTTTGTGTATAGCAGACCATTTATATTTTTAAGGGGGAACACTACCGAGAAAAAAGCATTTCTGCAAAAAAAGTTTAATTTCAAAAATGATATATTTACATCCACTAACACTTCTATGCCCATAAAGTTTTATGTGCTTACTGCCCAGAAAGTTTTATGTGTTTACACTGCATAGTTACTTTTTTTAATTATAATTTTCGGTCCACCGATGTTAAAGAAAAGGCAGAATTTTGAGCACTTTGAACGCATTGTTCTCCATTCCAATTGTTGGCATGAATTTTACATTAGCATAACTATATCAGTATGAAACTATCGAGAGACTTAATAATTGTGGCTTATATGCCTACATTTTATGGAGTGATTACTATGGACTTAGATTTTGCATTTTCATGTTCCTTTATTTTGAAAAATTGTAATTTAAAAAACTTTCTGAAAAAATATAGGTATATATTTTTCATCATTTTATTTTAACTGGAAAATGCACATTTTCTTGAATTTCTTTTCACAGTAAACAGCAACAGGTATTCCAGTATGCATTCCACCAGAAAAATATGTGATCACCAACACCATTTCTAAACGATAGATTCATTGAGCAGATTCCATGTGAACCTATGCTTTTAAAATTGGTTCACAGGGCATAAACTTTGCATGCCCTCCTTCTATATGGCTACGAGCACCACCTGCAAATGTCACGTTGATTGAGTGAGCGATTCACAAGGTGACATTCCCAGGTAGTGTCCCCCCTTGATGGGGCTGGGCGATTGATTGATTAACCTTCCAATTAATTTATTATTGCTTTTATCACAATCTTTTTTTTTTTTTTTTCTGGGTAACCAACCGAGTTTTCAGTTAGAAATTTCGGGGAGAAAGTGAAAATGCTTGCTTTACTACTTGGTGCATATTTATGTATTTGAGGAAGAAGTGCTTTTATATTCTGCAGTAAAACAAGCTAGCATTCCCTATAATTGTAATTTAAAGTAATTATCAAGTTTGAAAAATATTGTAAAATAGTTTATTGTTTTCCTTTTGTGGCAGAACAGTGTCAGGTTATAAATAGGGCTGCTGCTGTTGCCAGAAATTACATAGCAAGTAACTAAAAAATTATGTCTAGTTTAACACTTCCTTAGAATTTATACCTGGAAATCAAGGCAACCGATTCATTGATTAATTAACCAATTAAAGAATTGTAACTAATTGCATTAAAAACTTTTAATCTATGCTGAGCCGTATAATAATGTTGTTTGCTTCGTTTCTCGCTTTGCACAGGGGAAGCACTGCATTCTAGATGTGAGTGGGAATGCAATCAAGCGGTTGCAAGTGGCCGGTCTGGAACCCATTGCAATCTTCATCAAGCCAAAGTCTGTGGAGTCGATCATGTGAGTTGCACCTCCAGGGCTCAGATTGCTGGTCAGTCTCCTCGCTTTATGCGGAGAATCCGTTGCTTGGCCCAGAGATTGGTTTTTGAAAATAGATTTGACACCACACTTGACCTTTGATCTTTTAGCATTTGACGGTCATGGTGTTGTGGGAACTGTGATGTCACGGTATCACGTGACTCTCAAGATCTATATTTTTCTGGGTGGACTCCGTTTTTCACAACACGGATGAGAAACATGTTCCACTATATCCGTTGCGTGGAGATAGGAGACTGCAGAATCTTTTGACAGCTGTTTCTGAATTAGTTTTGCTCATCCACATTACGTTTTCTGTGAAAGTTTGGATTTCATTCATTGTCTTACTCCTGCACTCTTTTACTTGCACTTTACAGGGAGATGAACAAGAGGATAACAGAAGAACAGGCTAGGAAAACCTTTGAAAGAGCAGCAAAACTGGAACTGGAGTTTGCAGAGTACTTCACAGGTATTCTATTTTGACCCCTTCTTTGTTGCCCCTTTGTAGCTGATCTTGGATTTCGGCATGTAGCATTTAGCTTGCGACTAGCGCATAATCTAATGTTTTTCCATCGCTTTGTTACGAAATATAAATGGTTATATTGTGAAAGCCGAAAGAGTTGGTCTGCTCTATGGTGTGTCATAGATGGGGTGACCACCCGTCCCGCGACTCGCTGGACTGTCCCACATTGAGGGCTCGTGTCCTGCGTCCCACAAGAAATACCAAAATCTTTAAAGTGTCCCGCATTTCACATCGCCGTAGCATTCGACCACGCAAATTATGGCGCTTCCAAAGAACGGGCCACGGGGCTGCGCGGAGGTCGCTGATAAACGTAATAACCTTGGTGGTATGTCATTTTCTATACAAGCACTGCGGGAAGCGACCATTGTTCTTGCAGGAGTCGGAAGCACATTTGCCGTTTGGCCTCTACCCTTGATGGCAAAATATTGCGAGCGAAAATTGCTCTCCTAAAGTTGAAAATGAACTATTGTAATTATTTGCAAATCATACTGTATCATGCGAAAGGGTTGTTATGGAAAGCTTTTTTTAGTGAAGACGGCCACACAAGGCAAAAAACCTGCAACTCGCACGGGTCATAAAAACAACGACATAAGGTTCTAATTTTGTGCAAGAGCATGTTAGTATAACAGTATTAGTATATATATATATATAGTTACTATATATCGACATGAAACAATAGATCGAAAAAGTTTTATTGTTTGTTATTTCCCTTTCATGCATTGGGGTTTGCTGCAGTCGATTTATATGTTTTCCACTTAGGCACTCATAATAAAATATTTACCATTACAATTACACAAAAATATATCACTGTGATTGAAAATTATTTTAGCTTAATTGCCGCCACAAAATTTTCAGGTCTATAATATGCTTTCGGAGAGCACAGAATATCGGGGTGTGCGGGATGGTTAATTTTTTAATGCTTATCTCTTGAGTCGTGAAAATACCGTCCTCCTCGTGCCCCTTACCCCCCCCCCCCACCTCCCCCCCTCGCCGGACAGGGTATACCGCATTTCGCCTACAGGAAGGTGGCCACCCTAGTCATAAAGCTCTAGCACGGAATTTTTTTTTTCTTTTTAGTTAGTTTTAAACTGGTATAGTACAAAGTGTCTACAATATTTGTCTCTCTAGCAAAGTTGTAAACAGCATATTCTCAGATTTAGACTGTACCTGTAAGATTGGGATAGGTACAGGAATACACATCTCAGATACAGATACAAATTATATGCAAAATCTTTGTCTTCTCCCATAAGTTTAGAAGTATCCCTAAATTTCGAAAAGACCTGCATCATACAAACATGCTCAAACCATGCTTAAAAAAAAAATAAGAAAAAAGAATAGAAAAGCTGTGAAAAGACAGTGGGTATGCAGGCAAGCTGGTGATAGTTAATCATGAAGTTTAAAACCCAAAACTAAAGAGTGAAAAAAATAGGTAACTGAAGTCAAAGAAAAAGGCACAGAAGTCTCCTCTGCCTTTTTTTATGAATTCAAAGTTTTCTATTTTTTCCCCCATCACAGTCTTTTGTTTTAAACGTCATGAGAAAAGCTGTGGTTATTTTTTTGTTATATCCTATTTGCCCATGTTTGTGTACAGCCAAAAAGCTGTTCTGGACATCCATTCCCTTACATGTATGACTGTGTGCCTACACACACAATGATTGACTAATTATGACGCTCCCCATCAACTTTTCTGTGCAGCATTGGCAAGGCTAGCATAGTAGTTTTCACAGTGCTACATTCCTACACTGCTGATGGGAAATGGTACGTGGGGCTCCTGCTTTCCCCTTTCCACTCAGCAATGCTGGTGCTGACATGAGTAAAGAAGGGAAGAGTACAGGGACATGCCTTTTTGTCTTTTCTTCCTCTCTATTCTTTTACCTACTTTTTGTCAGAGCACTGGGAATCTATGCCAACCTCACCAACATTGCACAGAAATGTTAGTGCAGAGTGTAGGTGCTGACAACAAAGCAGATTTTTTTATATCGGCTTTCATTGGAGATTGTACTATACTTTGTTTCACCCTAAATCTGAGCACAGTCAGTGCTAAAAGACGATGGGGTCAGACAAACAGCGCCATAAGCACAACGTCGTGGCATTCATCGTCCTTCTCCGTGTTGTATCATCTGCTAAACAAATCTAGCGCAGCTAATGCCCGATGACTAGTGCTTTTAATATGCGTGTCAATGTTTTCATGCGTTCAAGCCCTAAGCTGTGTTCGAACTTGGCATGGAACGAATTATAGAGCTGGTTGCATATAGTCTTATTCGGGGGCTTTTCTTTTTTTTGTTCCGCAGCGATAATCCAAGGTGAAGCGCCCGAAGAGATCTACAAGAAGGTCAAGAACGTCATCGACGACAACGGCGGACCGTCCGCCTGGGTGGCTGCCAAGGAGAAGCTGTGAGAGTCGGCCACCACCGAGGGGGACTCATGCCTTCATCTTCTGTTTTAAAAAAGGGAAACGAAGCAAGGCGGCTTGGGAGGGAAAAGAAAAAAGGGAAAGTGTGGAGGGAATTTTTCTTTTTCCAACCGAATGGGGGAAAGAAAGTGCGTCGAACGGACAAGAACGTTGGAGTGTGCAAGAAGGAAGAAAGACAAACATCGTTGCTCACATCTCTCTGCGTGTACTTCCGCCATTTTTTGCTCTCCTCTTTCCTCCTCCTCCTACCTCTCTTCCTCCCTTACGATAAAAAAGAGAAACGCGCAAAAAGGGAGTCAAAGTGTAAAAAAATATATATGCACCCGAAGATTTTTTTTTTTTCTTTCTCATCGAGACAAGTTTGTGAATTGTCTCTCTTCGAACATTATCATGATGGCAGTTTATCCTCTTTTGTTTTGTCATTCTTCATTTTATTGATTCCAAAGTGTTCTGTTTGCAAGTTGTTGAAGGTGTTGGTAAACCTGTAAAGGAGCAGTTTGCCGAAGGCTCGTATCGTCGGTGTACATAGTGTTTAAGGCACCTCGGGTGGAGGTAGTCTGCGAAACGCCCGCGTTTTCACGAGCGAGCTTGTTTGCCCCTTCAGTGATCTCCAGGTGGAATTGACTCGCGGGAGAGGGTGTTGTGCATCTCGGTTCTGAAGCTTCTACTTCGTTGCAGAAGCTTGAAAGAGTCTTGAAAGGGTCTGAAAGCATGATTAGTATATTTCGTCGACTTCTTAGATAGTTTATTGTTTTAGCATCGACTAATTTGCGTTTTTCTTGTTTCGAGTCGGTACATTTTTGTTTTGGCAAGAAGGAGATTAGTTACTGTGAGGAAGGATGAAAAGAAGAGTGTATTCGGCAAGGTCAAAGTTCTTGGCATCTGCTTTTAAACCCTTGTTTCTTCCTCAGCCACCACAACGCGTGGAAAGCACAGTGGACCTGCTATCGCCGTCTCTAGGGGCGACGGCTTGTTTTGACAAGACGTTCAGCGCTAAGAAATGTATACTAGTACAACTCCGTGGCAGCAGCAGTGCTACTTTGCACCACACTACAAAGCTATTGTTACTACCACCCTCAACATGTTACAAGAAAACGGAAGGTGGGGTGGCAGGTTCAATGCTTGTGTACAGGCAAAGAAAAGTATTTTACCGAATAGAGGCAGCCTCTCGTTTTAGTAAGTTATTTGAGTAGCGCATTTTCGTTGTGCATGTGGACATGCTCGCAAACAAGCTGGGCTCCTGCATTTTCGTTACACGTTCAACACGCGTGATGTGCCTACACATGTCTCTCGCTGCCCCCCTCTGCTTTGGACAGTTTTTTTTCCCCCACCCCCGCCCCCTCCAGAGCAGAAGCCACATCTGCGTTGTTATGTACATGAATATTATCATTTAGGAGCCACACAAATGTGCTGTATACGCTATGGACGTAGTTGGACACTGTAACATACGGACATGGAATACACACTTTCGCCACTTTTGAGGAGCAGGACTGCGCACACACTTGCACACGCACATATACATGAACACAGCCACCCGAGGAAAACGTCTTTGTTGTTCTTTTGAGGTGCTAGTTTTGTTCTGTGCTATGCAGCATAGTTCAAATCTGTCAGCTGCCTGTAAGCTAGCTTTGAAGTTTGTCTCACGTTCTTTCTTTGCGAGCAGGTTTGGCGGGCTCTTGCATTACCACGTTTCCGACGACAACTTTGTGATACAACGTGACTTTTAGTTTGTGCAACAAATTGTCTGCTCTACTGCTAGACAAGGTTGTTTTAATGATTTTGTCATGTGGTTGTTCTTTTGTTTTCTATTCTTTGACATTGTCTTCTTTTTTTATTTTATTTTTTTGCTGGAGGAGGGTTAGGACTGCAGTATTACTTCTTTCTCCCATTCAAAGTTAACATTCGTGCAGAACCTTCGAAGAGAAAAAAAAATAAAGATGGAATTGTAAGATCTGACTGAAGTTTATACAATGCATATAAATATATATAATATAATGTATGTATGGATGTGTAATGCAGGTATACATACAAATAAATTTATGGATATGCAAAGTGCAGCTACTTGAAGAATGTTTTCCGGCTTAAAATAAAGCTGGTGATTCTAGAAACTGGATTTGCTTAAATGTGGGTACTATAAACTTGAGCTTGCCGGGTACAAAATGTTAAACAAAAGCTTGTGCAATTATGATGGCCGAATGTCTCGGTAAGATTGAATGCACGATCAAGCTTAAGTAGGACCCGTTTTGTGTTTCATTTTGGGGTCATGGGACCTGCCGAGCTCTTTTCTGTGGCTTGTCAGCATCAACTAAAGGTCTCTAAACAAACCAGAGTCAACAAATCGTGCTTGATAAGGTTATAAACGGGATATCTTCTCGGATAGTTGCCTTGGAAGTGCAACCAACCCCTGCTGCGCTGTCATCGCGCGACGCAGCAGAGGCTGATTGCACTATCTCTCCACGGAATGCGGTGCCACCGGGGCTGAGATGCGCTCCGATAGCAAACCGAAACTTAAAAAGCCGTCGAAATTGTGTGGTTTTTCAGAAAGCCGTAAGATGCTTCGCGTGCCTTCTATCGTTCTGAAATTTGTTGATTTAGTGTTTTTCGACGGTGCGGAGCAATTTTCTAATTGAAACTATGCCCTTAAACACAATATTAAAAGTAGCTAATGACGCAAAAATAATTAACAATTTAATTATCCTGGACTTTAATAATTTTCCTAAATGGGCCCCTGGCCCAGGACCGAAACGACACAAGCCTTTTTTCGTTGCGATGAGTAGTTTTTGCAGGAGCGATTTGGCCCGAGTTCTCTGAAACACCCTGTGTATGTAAAAGTTTTTTTTTTATTTTTTATTATTATTATTATTACGCAGATTTGTTTTTAAAAAAGCCGTGAAAGCTACACTTATGCGGTTTGTGCGAGTGAGTTATACGCCCACGGAGATGTTATGTGGGTGGCTAATCTTTGCGATAAGTCGGCTTATTAATTAAAATTCACTAATTCATATTTTAATGGGTGAAAATAGACATGGTCCCAATTAGAAACTTGCTAAGCGTCGTCCAAAACGCCTAAATCAGTAATTTTTAGAAAGAAGCGCAGTACTGCGCTGAAGTTACCACTCATGGAGTAGATACAAGGCTGGGGCTAGATAAGACCGATCTCACGAGGAGTTGCGCGACGCCACCGCTGCCGCGGTGCATTCTGGTACCTGTAGTTCTCCCCAGTTTTCCGGCCGCGTCGGTGCGCATTGTACGCCCGGCGTTTGGAAATCTTCGGGTTAGCACGAGACTTTTAGCCAGGTGTTGACTCATGGTTTTCAATCGGTGGCTTTACATGTTGTATGCCACGGAGCTATTACAACAGCACCAGACAAAAAGGCCTCGGATATTATGTCTTCCCGCAAGAAAGAAGCATGGCAAAGAAAGGTCGAAAGAGCCGGACAGAGCGGCAGGAAAAATAGCGTTTAACGATTTGTTTCGCGATTTGCTTCATAATTTATATCCAATTATTGCACGTCAGCTAAAATATGTAAGATTACGGGGCACGAGACATAGAGCGTGCCGAAGTGTTCCGTAAGCTGAAATCTCTGACCATTTGCTCCGTAGCGGCCTATTCGTTGGTCTACCTCAAATAGGACCTGCACACTGCTTTGCGGAGGCCGTTTTTAATACACTTCTTACCCGGTGTATTTTGGTGGTTATGGCGACGACATGTTTCACACGTCTGTGCTTCAAAAGATCAGGACAATCACTAAAAAAGAGCAGCGATTCCCGATATGCACCACTTGATATAAAACAACTTTTTTTCGGAAGCAGCCTTCATTTCTTTTCCATACCAGCGCGAAAAGACGTACTTACTGCCAAAAATGTAACAAACGACCCTCATCCATTTTGTGGTAGTCTATTAGGCTGGTGTTACTGATCCATTCTGCATTAGCACCAGTCGAGACCGCAGAAAGAAGCTTCCCCCTTCGGGTGACTGTTAGCGTTCGGATCTTGCGCAAACAAAATAAAACTGAATAGAAACTGTGCGCGAAAAATCACCTCCACCCCAACCTTTTAGGTATCTGCCATGGTTGCTTCTTTTTGATTGATGCCAATTATTACGGCGCGTGAGGCATGGCCTTTCTGTAGATCAGTTCTTTGTGTGCAGGCTTTTCCCGCTGTTCATCGGTACTCTGTCGCGCAGGCGATAAACCAGAATGAAACAACTTTTAGAAAACTATCGCTGACCGAGAAAGTCTATTTAGCTCCTCTTACTTGATGGCTGATTAAACGTTATGCACAAGACTGAGCACCACCAAGCTCAGTTTTTCATCACATTAGATGCTGTTCAGTGGTGCTACACCGAGCCGATGGTCCCCCGAATTTTCTTGTTTTTTGCTATTGCACTAGACGTTTACTTGTTTGCAAGGTAATTGAGACGTCCGAGGTGTCGGAATGCTCAAGTAGTGGCGCCGTTGTTTTTTTGTTTTGTTTTTTTCCGCGGCCGCAGTGGGATTACCCCGTGAACGGCAGTGGGCTCGCGCCTTCACGAAGACGAAGAAGCAGACGACGACGAAGCAGACGACAAAGCGATTCTAAAGCGATAAGACGACTGAAACTGCTCTTCTGCACTTGCTAAGGAAAGTAAGGCATCACAAACAACACAATCTTATGTAATAACATGCAAGAGAATCAAGGTGATACCGGGGCGTGCCAAATGGTAATCTATGATGATGTACGTACGCGCAGCCGTATGTAGCGGGGAAGGGATGACTACAAGTAGCATGGCGGCGGCACCACTTCCGGAATGCGCGCGCCTGCGCAGTTCGCTTGGTGACATCGGTCTTGTACCTGCTCCACGAGTGGTAACTTTAGTCCACTACTACGCTTCTCACGCGCTGAAAGTCTTTCTGAAAATGACACATCTGAGGATGCAGAGGTCCCCACATCCTCAAATCAAGCCCTACACGTAACGTCTGCAAAGAACTGCGATCTTGATGACGCGGAATGCACGTTGCGGAAGCACTGTGGAAGCTTTATAGGGAAGCTGAAACACTTCTTGAAAAAAACGAGTTAGAGGTGAATTCTGGCGTATTTTTATCCCGTGAATCCGAATATCACTTTTGTTTTCCCTGAAGATGCAACTAAAAGCGAGAAAAAGCGAAAAAAGATTCGACCAGTCGTGACGTCATACTAGGATCTTCGGGCCGCCAAGCGCGTGTCGCTGGTGTGTTCAGCGCGTGCAACGGCAAGCTTGCCAGGTATATTTCCCCGCAGTGACACCAGTCGTGACGTCTCTTTCTGACCTTTCTGAAAATAGCAAGAGTGCGCTCGCATAGCTTTGGCAGGCGCTGAAGATGCGCGAGAGCAGATATTCCGAAGGCTCCTAGTGTGACGTCACGCCCCGGGAAGGAGGGGCTTCGGCGGTACTTTAAAAATTAATTTCTGAAGCCTCCGTGCACCAAATTGAAAAATAATCTTGATATTCCTGATCCTGGAGGTAGAATGAAGGCCATTGAAATGTTTTTTCTCATATAGAGAACCGCTTCAGTTTCCCTTTAAGGTGCAACCCCATTCTTCGTGAGTGTGATTCTGAACCAAGAGATGGCGGTGGGATCGCCTTCAGGCCTGTACATCAATGAGAGAAATCGTGGGTGGTGGCGCTTCGGTACAGTGGGGTATTTTTCTATATCTTGAATTTGACATCCCTGGTCCTTCGCTTGTTTTTTTCTGCACGAGCTTTCTTTGGAAGGCGCACGGCTGCGCCAGTTCTCGTGCAAGGAGGCCAGTTGCCTACGCTCCCAGCTCACGTCCCAATTAAATATGGTCAGAACAAAATGCGAAAATCATCCTTATCCAAATGGCGAAACACATGCACAACAATACAACCGATGGGTGGAAAAATATAAAGTTGCTTGTGCGCCGTTAGCATTCCACGGTGATTTTGAAGGCCAATTACATATCAATGTGATCAGATTTATATGACGGGCCGGGCCTATTGTCCTGCGCGCGTTTGGCTCTTTCCGGACCTCCAGGAAAACGACGCGATAAACTTGGGTTTCCAAACTTCTAGCTCGAGAAGTTAAATACATTAAAAATCAAAACAAATGAACTATTTTTTCGGCGGTCAGGTGTCTCATTTAGGTAGCTGGGTATTCATTTTGAACAAAACCACGAGACTGGAAAACACAAAAAACGACACTCAGTTTTAGATATTGAGTTTGGTAAACCCACCTTAGGGCTGGTGCGGGAGTCATAATAAAAAAAAGCCAAGGTTAAAAATTAACCAGCAGCAATAATTGATAAGAATTAATTTTAATACGAGTTCAGTGATAATTGCAATGACTGCCCAGGCAAAAAATAACACTCAGGTTTAGATGTTGAGTTTGGTAAACCCAAAGTAGGACTGGTGCGGGGGTCATAATAAAAAAATGTCGAGGTTAAAAATAAACTCGCAGCAAAAAATAGTAATTATTAATTTTAATAGGAATGCGGTGATAAATACAATGACTGACCAGGCAAAGATTCTGGGTCTGTTGACAGCTGTTGATAGCTTTTGCACATAGTTTAAGCAATTAGCAGGGTGTCACAAAAGAAAAAAATACAGGGTTTCTTTTTACCGCAAGAATAAACTAGGCACCGCCGAACGCTCATTCTCCGCCCATAGGTAGCGCTAGAGGTACAACCAGATGTTAAAGTTTCAGCCCAATACGATACCTTCTTCAAAAATTATAAGTGATTTTCTGAAAAGTTCAATGGGAAAATAGCGGCCGACGGAGTTTTCGAATACATAGGGCTCTGTGGCACCAGAAACAAAAAACAGGCAAGAATGGGCTCCATTTTTCCCATTGGGATTTTCAGCAAATCACTTATAACTTTTGAATAAGGTGTCCGTTCGGGATGAAACTTTGGCATCTGCTTGTAACCTAGCGCTATCTTTTGGCGGAAAATGAGCGTTAGGCAATGCGTAGTTTATTTTTGCGGTAGAAAAAACAACCCTGTAAATTGTTTTTGTGAGATCCTGTGCCAGTCTTAATGTGGTGATTTATGCGCGCAAATAGTGGTGTGCA